TTGTTGCCAAAAATTAAACTAGTCGTTCAGAAATTTATTTTAAAAAACAAGCACTATTTCTCAAAAAATAAATGATATATTTCAATTGAAGAGTATATATGTAATAATTTATAATTGCTATTTTAGTCCCGCCGACAACAGTTAACTAGATGGTATCTAAACTCAGCTTAGAGTGCGAGAAGGATGCAAAACATTTCGATTTTGAGTTTGCGACATTGCACAGATAACAAAAACTCTTAGTACCTATCGAATTGATGAAAATTTACTATTATTATTGAACGTTCTTGTTAAATTTATATCTAATCTTGCAAGAGTTACTATGGAAAAATACACTCCTTAATTTAATTTGCTCACATTGAGAAATTGCTGGGAATTCATGTGTTTTACTAAGTGTTTTATTTAAATACGATAAATATCAATATTTAACTACTTCTGCATGTCAACAACTGTTTATTGATGAGTTATTATTAGTGCTAGTAATAATTAATCAACGTCTAGTCTCGTTTCATTATATCGACATGATGAAAACAAAATCCATAGATTATATAGTACATCAGAATTTTACTTTGAGTGAACGAAACATCATATCAAAAACCGGATAAAATTTGTAGCATATAGAGATCTCAACGTTTCAAATGACTTTTTAACAAGCATCAGATGATGTACTGTTCTTGAGATTGTCGTGTCATAAAATATGGACTTTGTATGAGTAATTCGAGAAAGCAATTAGACTGCATTCGAGTTTCACTCGATTGCGAAATGCAGTACGAATTTTTGAATGTCGATTCTCGATAAAAATCAATATCTCATAAAAAACGAATGTTCGTTTCTACGATCAATAATAAAACATGACGTTCACAATTTACAAAACTGAATTTCTGTACTGTCGCTGCAATTGGAAAGTCGAAAAAGAGATGTGTTGATCAATCAAATGATCGAAATAAAAAAGGAACTGAAAAGCAGGCATGGGAAAATTCATAACTATGAGAACTCTATCAATATGTAAAAACATAATCCTAAAGAACACTGTCGATTTATCGTTTAATTATATATATGATTCATTATTGATGATCCGCTGTAATGGATAAAAATTAGCTTATCGAGTACACTGGCGACTAATTTTTTAATCTGTCTTTATCTTTATTATCTCGACATTTGAAAGACAACAAAGTGTACAAAAAGGAGGAGGCCTTTTATCAAGCAAAGTCGCCCGTACGCTCCCTTCCCTCGTAAAATTCAATTGAATGTTAGAAAATCAAATGTAAGAAACAAATATTTTAGCTAGAGTCAGAATGATGATATATTCACACTGTCCACTTCACCCATCCTCTTCTAACATTAGAAACATTATGTACGTGTAAAAATGAAATTTAATAAACAAATTTTAGACGTGTACTGATTACTTCTGTTTGTTACTGAATTCAAATATGAGGTATATATCAATAGAAAAAATTAATACTCGTTTGATTGAATAAAAGTAAATAATTTTTCTTAATTTTATTGTGTGTATTTCATAGGCTTTTCTTTATTGCCCTCACATCTTTATCGTATATTCTTTGTTGTTTTTGTTTTTACTTGTCCGATGAATTCTCACCGATGAATAATACCGTATTTTTGCATATTGATTCTCAAGAAATGTGCCAGAATATAGCGACATATCCATGAACTAGAAATCGACAATTCAAAAAACTTCAGACAATTCAAGATACATACACAACTTAAAAATCTATAACTCCATACTATCATACAATTCAAAAAAAGAGAGCTGAATTCAAGTAACTCTATTTAACTTAAAGCAATCAGGTTGTATGAGTAACGTAAAACACTTATTCTTCAATATTAGCACAAATTAAAAGAATTCAACAAATCGAAAACATTTAAAAGATATTTGGTCTTGTCACTAAATGAGAATAAGGATGACGTATGAATTGCTTCCAGTTAGATAGCTAGATTTATTTCAAAAATTGCTCGTTTCGATACATACACCTGGTGAAATAAGAACAGAAGACTGTCGTCTTCACCCTCATACTATGATTTTAGTGAATTTCTTGTCCTCATTGAGCTGCCTTGAATTACCTCTTTTTTTTTTAATAGTCAATTTATGGGTCTTGCGTATTGTTGCCAAATTGCGTCTATATCACTATAAACACAACATTATAAGATGGTCACATAAGAGAGGAGAAAGAAAAACACACATCATCGAAGTCAATACTATTAAGGGAGAAGACATTCAGAGAAAAGAAAAAGAAAGGAAGTGAAGTACCACAGACATTAAATGTGTCACTGTATAATGGGAAATATCAAAGTAACGATGCTTTTTTTTCGTTCTTGTTATGTCAAACTTGAATGTTTAGATAGCAATCTATTGCAAAGCAGAGAAAGAAGAAAGTCATGAAAAGAATTGATGAAAACAAAAATGAATGATGTTCTTCTTACGAAGATTACTGAAGGAGAAAGTATATCCTATACATTGTCACTAAAATTATTGGGCAAAAGAAAGTAAGAGAAAGTGAGAAAGAATAGTAATACGAAAAATGACGTTGTCGGTTGTCACTGATCGTTTGTTAGGATATGTCAAACGAATAAATATTTTTGTTCTCTCTCTTTTGCTCGTGTTCTTCATCATAAATTTTCAACAAAAAATAGATAGAGTTCGTTCTTCGTTGTCAACGAAAAATATAAAACATTGTGCGTAGTAAAAAAAATAGAGAGAAAAGAGAATCAATAGATATATAAATAGAGAAAGTGCTGTCTGTCTAAGCGACAACAGGTATTCATAATATTTGATTGACGGTCAACGACTCATTCAAAGCAATATGGATGCACAAAAATCAATCGAGCCTGTGCCTACATCATCAAGAATTCCATTGACAACAACATTGGCACGGTCGACTAGCATTCACTCAAGACGCCGTATTTTACAAGATTTCCTCTTGATATGGTTCGATGCGAATATTGATGAAGCTAATAAAGATTGTAAAAGCATTTTGGCACAACTGCAGAGCCTAGCCAACGACGTTCATGTTTTCACGCAAAACGATGAATGTATCGACTTCCTCACACGAGTCGATGACAGAAAGGTGTTCTTCATTGTGGCAAGTGCTATGCAACAACAAGTAGTGCCACTCATCCATGATATTCCTCATCTTGATAGCATTTACGTCTTTTCCGAAAACGAAGGTCGACATGAAGATTGCAGCAACAATTGGAACAAAATTAGGGGCATATATATGGACGTCACATCCATCTGTAAAGCACTGAAAGTGGCCATTAAACAACGCAATCAAGATAACATCTCGGTAAGCTTTATCAATGTGAATGAAGAAGGTTTCAGTCAAAATCTGGATCAACTGGAACCATCATTTATGTATACTCAATTATTCAAGGAAATTCTCCTTGAAATCGACTATAGCGAACAAGCCATTAATGATTTTATTCAATACTGGCGCGACGAATACATCGACAACGCTGCTACATTGAACCGTATTGATGAATTCGAACGTAATTATTGTCCACAATCATCAGTTTGGTGGTACACTCGGGAGTATTTCCTCTATCAGATGCTCAACCATTCTCTTCGAACACTCGAATCTGACATAATTATGAAAATGGGCTTCTTTATTCGTAATCTTCATTGCCAAATAGAAGAATTATACAAACAACAACTGAGAGATTCACAGAAAGAGACCCTTATTGTTTATCGAGGGCAAGGATTATCCACAGCTGACTTTCAAAAACTCCAGAAAACAAATGGCGGTTTGATGTCCTTTAACAACTTTTTATCCACCAGTCAAAATCGAGAGGTTTCCCTTGGCTTTGCAGAAAGTGCTTCAACAGCAAGCGGTATGGAGGGTATTCTCTTCGAAATATCCATTAATCCTAATGTCACGTCAACTCCCTTCGCCTTCATCCAAAAACTGAGTTATTTCAATGAAGAACAAGAAATTCTCTTCTCAATGCACGCTGTTTTTCGTATTGGTGACATCAATCAAATGGTAAACAATAGTCGCCTGTGGAACGTTCAATTGACTCTCACAGATAACAATGACCAACAACTGGCTGCTCTCACTAAATGTATACAAGAAGAGATCGAGGGCGCTGAATTGTATCGAATTGCTCAACTACTGATCAAGGTAGGTCACTTCGATCAAGCCGAAGAGGTCTACAATAAATTACTCGAGAACTGTTCCAGTGACAATAATAGAGCAAGTATTTATCACAATCTTGGATTGGTGAAACAGAACCGAGGAGAATACATAGAAGCCATTTCATTGTACGAAAACTCCCTCGAAATCAAGCGCAAAACTCAGCCGAAAGATCATCTCTCATTAGCCCCAACCTACAACGAGCTCGGTGAGGTGTATCATCACCTGGCTGACTACTCAAAAGCACTAGAACTTTACGAAGAGGCACTTAAAATAAGAGACAAAGAACTATCCTCGCAACATCCTCATTTGGCAGAATCCTACAACAACATAGGTGGGGTATATTATCAAATGGGTGAATATTCGAAAGCACTAGAATTTTACGAAAAGGCACTCAAAATAAGAGATCAAGCACTACCCTCCTCTCATCCTGATCTGGCTCAATCCTACAACAACATAGGTGATCTATATCGTCAAATGGGTGAATATTCGAAAGCACTTCAGTTTTACGAAACGGCACTTAAAATAAGAGATAAAGTACTGCTGTCGCACCATCCTGATTTGGCTGAATCCTACAACAGCATAGGTGAGGTGTATCATCACATGGGTGAGAACGCGAAAGCACTTGAATTTTACGTGGCAGCACTTAAAACATACGAGAAAACCCTGCCTTCAAATCACCCTGTTTTGGCTACTTTTTACAGCAACATCGGTCTTACGTATGGCAACATGAGTGAACACTCCAAAGCACTTGAGTTTTACGAAAAGGCAATAAAAACCTACGACAAAGCTCTACCTTCAAATCATCCTGCTTTGGCCACTTTTCACAACAATATCGGTCTTGCGTATAACAACATGGGTGAACACTCGAAAGCACTTGAATTTTACGAAGAAGCACTTAAAATAAGAGATAAAGCATTGCCCTCGCATCATCCTGATTTGGCTGCATCCTACAATAACATTGGTACAGTGTATCACAACATGGGTGACTACGCGAAGGCACTTGAATTGTACGATAAAGCAAACGAAGTTTTGAAAAAAACTCTGCTTCCCAACCATCCCTATTTAGCTACTTCGTACTGCAACATCGGCCAAGTGTATAACAACATGGGTGACTATTTAAAAGCACTTGAGTTTTACGACAAAGCACTTAAAATAAGAGAAGAAGCTCTATCTTCGAATCATCCTGATTTGAGTACTGTCTACAACAACATCGGTCAAGTACATAACAACATGGGTGACTATTTAAAAGCACTTGAGTTTTACGAAAAAGCACATCAAATAGTTGAAAAAGCTCTCACCCCAAATCATCCCGATTTGGCTACTTTCTACAACAACATCGGTCAAGTTTATTACAACATGGGTGACTATTCACAAGCACTTCAATTTTACGACAAAGCACTTAAAGTAAGTGAAAAAGCTCTCCCTTCAAATCATACTCATTTAGCTGCTACCTACAACAACATCGGTCAAGTGCATAACAACATGGGTGACTATGCAAAAGCACTTGAATTTCACGGAAAAGCACTTAAAGTCTACGAAGAAGCTCTGCCTGCGAATCATTCCTATTTGGCTACTTCCTATAGTAACGTCGGTGCCGTGTATTATTGCATGGGTGACTATTTGAAAGCGCTTGAAGTTTACGAAAAAGCACTTAAAGTCTACGAAGAAGCTCTGCCTGCGAATCATTCCCATTTTGGTACTTCCTATAGCAACATCGGTCAAGTGTATAACAACATGGGTGACTATTCAAAAGCGCTTGAATTTCACGAAAAAGCACTTAAAGTCTACGCAAACGCTCTGCCTCCGAATCATTCCCATCTGGCTACTGCGTATACCAACGTCGGTACCGTGTATTATTGCATGGGTGACTATTCGAAAGCGCTTGAATTTCACGAAAAAGCACTCAAAGTAAGAGAAAAAGCTCTGCCTCCGAATCATCCTGATTTGGCTGTTGGTTACTTGAGTTTTGCAGCGTGTTACGAAAGAATGGGTGATTACGCAGTTGCTCTTAATGCTGTTCAAAGTGCTTTTGAAGTTCAGAAAAAAGCAGTTGAAGAAGATAATCCAGCTTTTGCTACAACATACAGTTGGTTTGGAAGCGTTTATCAGGATATGAAGGATTATTCAAGAGCACTACTTTGCTTTGAAAAGTGTCTTGTAATAGCGCAGCGAACATTACCTGAAGGGCATCTGTATCAGGCTATTACATACAGTAATATTGGTGATGTTCATCGATTAATGGGAGATTATGAAATGGCAGTTTCGTTCCATCGGAAAGCGTTAAATATTGCAGAAAATATTCAATGTAATTCTCTAGAATGTGCAAAGATATACACAAATTTAGGTGAAACTTATCGACAAATGGAAGATTATTCAACGGCATTGACATATTTCGAAAAAGGATTAGAAATACGTGAAAATAAACTACCAAAAAATCATCCTGATTTAGCTGTTAGCTATCATAATTTGGCGAAATTATATTTGGCCAGTAGACAATATAGTATGGCAAAGAAAAATGTTCAACAAGCGGTAGAAATTGCTCACCAGAAACTGCCTTCGAATCATCCTCATCTATTGGACTATCAAGAAACATTAGAAAAAATTCCAAAGAAATTTTAAATTTTTTTTTTTTGGTCTGTTCAATACATCTGTTTTGATTGCTATTCCCCTCTTGCGGCTTTTCTCGACTCGTTATCATGCACATGCGCGCGCGATCAGAGAGTTCTCTTCCCGCCGTGACTCTGAAACAGGTACACGTAGGATGGACCACACCGAACCGATACAGCAATGAACGTGAGGATTACGTACATAACGACGACAGGCACCATAGGTTCACAGTATGCCTTTCCGAGCACTATACTGCTTTCGACATAACAGCTCTGCTGAGTCTCGGTAGGTCACGCTACGAGACCATCTTGTGGACTGTGACATAAGCCGGTACCTCTTGCTATCACACAACAATATAGCTAGAAATAAAATTTTAACGTAGAAAAAAAAGTTTTTATCCTTTTAAATACGTTACGATTTATATATGCATGCATATTAAAAACACTATTTAATCCAGAATATATGATGTCTGCTTTATCCTAAAACAATGTAGAGAAATACTATTGATGACTATCAATACTAAATTTATATTGTCTCTCTCGAATAACAAAAAGAAATTTTGTTCCACACTTTTCTATTCTTATACTCTCACTGAAGAAAAATAAATGATTTTAAAGCAACATATCTAGTTTTTCGATATTCGAAATATAATTAATAATTATTTGTAATTTCAATTTCTCTAATGTAATCATATTTTAATATAATGCAATTCAATTTTCATAAATTTTATGATTACTGATGATATAATATTAATAGTAATTCACGAATTGACCCAAAATGATGTCATCAAAGCCGATATTTCGACTTCGGAACAGTGTAACAATAAATTATATAAAAATAATGCAATTAAAAATTAAAATTAATTTTAATATCATAGTAATATTTGTATATCATCAATATGTATTTGTCAATAATCACATAATAGTATTTTAATGTATAATATTCCTTATAAATACAAAAAAATACAATCATTGTAATAAATTTATATGGCACCTTCAAAAAAGAAATATATATTAAGGTACTTGCTCAGTGTTGTGAAGAGGGTATTGTCAATGGAACAGAATGATTTGTTCGAAGAAAACCGTTTCTTTTATACATTAACATCATTGGGTGCCTGTCAATGATATTCATGGATGAATAATTAATTAATGATTGGAAATATCATTGCATCAATAGGAGCATCGATTATCATCAACGAGCAGTCAACATAACTGATTTCCATCAGATCGATTAATAATTTGCTTATCACTTATATCTTTCATCGGCTGTAAACCAATCGATTGTCTTTACTCTTCACAAAGACAATCATGGCTAGTGAAAAGAGCTCATTGACGAGTTATTATAAGGTACGCATGTAAGAATACTGGCACACTTTCTCAAAAGTATGCAAGACATTTGACGATTTATTAGAAGTACTCATCACTCAATGTAAGCATCTAATTATGTCGCAGTGATCGGATTTCGTGAGTTCCAAAGATCTGGAATTCTGAAACGTGCAACTTTGTAGTAAATCAGCAAGATAAACAGAAATGTCCTGAAATTATTTAGCAGGCTATATATCTGACCGCCACAAGGCGCCCACGCAACTTAGAAATTCAAGGAAACCTCAAAACCATGGAAACCAAGGCAGAAAAATGGACCCTATGATCCATCAAAATCCCAAGATCTAGAATCTACTTTTTCTCGCTTGATTAAAGTACTGCAATCCGCAGATTAGGGACGATACGAAAGGTTGTACCCGTACAATACTCCAGTGTCGAGTATTATTAGCCTCCAAAAAGAGTGTAATAGAATCAGTATCATTTAATCATTTGGCATTGATACGAGTAACAGTTAGTAGTTGCTCAGCATAGGTTTATTGACTGTTTTCTTGACTGATTAGATCTTTTTCCCATTTTTATAAATCAATATGATTTTTTGCAATGTTGTTTCATTCTGTATGATTCCTTATTCTTTGACTTAATCACTAATCAAATTAATATTTTGTCTATTAAGCAAAAAATGATGAAAGAAGTTGCATAAACCCGATTGATATTAACAGCGAGAGAAATGGCTAAAATGTTATATTGCGTTGTAGTACTGGAAAAATTCATTTTTTACAAAAGTCTAACTAGAAAATTTCTTCTGACAATAAAACGATAAAGGCTTTCTTTTAAAGAATAATATGGTTTATTATCCACTAATTGTCGCCTTGCCATATTCAGTATAATTAGTAGTATTAATAACTAAACTTCGATTGCACTTTTATATGAATAGCATAAATTTTTTTTTTTGTCAAAGAAGATATTCCTACTTGGGAAGAAACAGTCGATGTAGAAATATCTTTTAAATGTTTACAAGTATTGTTTGTTTGCTTTTACTCAAAAGTATTTTACTTGAAAGATTTGTTGATTTTGTCTGAAAATTTTGATTTATTTTTTAATAGAATATTATTTGTAATTTGACTATGTATGAATTTATACTAATTTCTCATTATTGTAAAAATATAAATCAAATGAAATATTATTTCAGTTGACTTGATAATGTTTTACTAATCTTGTTATTGTGCATTAATTTGGTATTTTCTTTTGAAACACATTTTGTCATGTCCATTTTATAGACATGTTTCTTATATAATCAGTTGAATACATAAAAAATCGATGACACTCAATAGACAGTGAGAAATATGACATATGGACTCATACATTAAAACGAACTGTTCTCTTCTCTCCTCTTATAGCACTTTTAGGAGAATGAATTATCAAAAATAAGTTAAACTCACAGAGAAGACGGATTGCAATAAATAGAGCAAAATTTGTTATAGATTCAAATTTCCGTGACATTTCTTTCAAGAAAATATAGAAGAGGGTTGCAAGAACGAACAATGATCCTCTTTTTCGTTCCTTATTTATCTAAGATGATACATTCATTTGAGCGGAAATAGTATTTTTTTCGATTTCTTCATATCTCCTTACCTGGGAATTAAAATACTTGAATATAGAAAGTCTCCTAAAACTGGCATGGATTTTTGAATATTGGTTTCTTTGTAAGACCGGTCAAAAAATCAGTGATACAATAATTTTTAAAATAAGAGAGATTTACCCGTAAAAACTAATTTTATCTTTTCAATTTTTTTTTTCGAGCACATATCCAATAGAGAGAGAGAGAAACATAGGCAAGGCAGAAAAAACTGAAAATTTTTAGTGGAAAAAAAAAGAAGTAAATTCCTTTCAAGAACACAGTCCTAACTAAAAACTTTTCCTAGGATCTGAAAATATTCACGTGAGAAAGTTCTTAACCAAATAGAACTATTCCTGCAAACAAAATTCTAGAAAAATAGAATATAACTATGATTGCTCAAAATAGAACTTGAAACAGAAATTTTTAAATTGTACTAAAATAATACCTGATGAACGTCTCTCATGAAAGAACATTGCCAGGTGTTTGCGTCACCTTGTAAGCTGATATTTTGCCTATAAATAGGCCTTGGTGAGCTATAAAAAATCTCCAAAGAGTTTGTATCCATAAGCATTTCTTCCCGAATTTTGAATTGTTCGAGTAGTTTCCGTCTACATGAAGATAATAACAAATACTTTTTGATCACTATTAAAAGGTAGAAGACTGTAAATCTTTTTGAGAGTGAACTTAATGATAACTAGATTAAACTAGACTTTCCAACGTTGCAACTTTAAAAAGTTCACAAATGATAATTCTCAAAATTTCTTGAAAGTCCATTATGATTTTCTCACGGAATACAATTATTTATCGTACTGCTGGATAGTATATACTCGGTATCATACGAAAATCATGAAGATGAACAATTTATATTCTAATGGGAATGGGAGAATCCAGTTATCATCAAATTCACTTTCAAAATAGAAGTCTTCTCGCTTTTAATAATGACCAAAAAAGCATTTGCTATTACTTTCATATACATGAAAACTTATCAACCAACTAAAAACTCAGTAAGGAACTCCCATGAGTACAAACTATTTGAAGACTTTTCATAGTTCATCAAGGTCTACTCATGAGCAAAACATCAATTCAAAAGGACGCAGACATTATGGAATTTTTATACAATTAAAAAGAAAAATTCTGTCAGGAATATATCGTTTGTATATACATAGCTTGACAAATCTTGTTTCTTAATGATTATTATAAATATTAATTTGTAATTAGAGTATCATAATATTTTGTATACATGACATCGATAACATCCGGAATGAAAAAAAACATGGATAGAAAACAGTTGTTTCATATTAAAATCTATATAGAAATATACATATTTATATTTGCTAATGTTATTCATCATGAATATAAGTTTCTTTTTTTTTTTTCATTTTTCTATAATCATTCATATTCATTGTCGGCATTTTATAATACAAATCAAAATGAAATTATTAAAAAGAAATTGCCGCTAAATCTTCTTTTTTTGTTTTTTGTTATTTCATGCTTATATGATTGAAAATACATTGTTTATATACAAATCTCTTGAAGAGTTTTACAATCTTTTTCTCGCATGTAAGAAAAGAATAAACTCATATATATTATCAAATCTTATCTCTTTTGTTCTATTGGCTTATTTTCTAATACGGAAATTCAATTATAATCATATAAATAGAGGTATTGAACGTTTGTAGTTGTCCGACTAATCAATGAACATATAGAAAACAGATCATCTTAAACATAAAAACATATTTAATAAAAATACTATCAATCGCAGACAAACTCTCTTTAGTAATACATTCAATTATTTTCTCTTTTTTTTTCCAATGTCATATGGTATTTTTCCAGTCGACTACTGATACAAGTATTATAACATTTAGTAACTTCTTTGTTTTTATCAATACAAAATAAAGGCAATCATTGAACTGTGAGAACTTATTAAAAACAGAGAAAAAAAAAAAGAAATATATGATGAGAATCAATTGTTTTAACTAAACTCTCTTTCCATATATATGTGACAAACATCTGAATTCTATTCAATCTTTCTTTTTTTTTTTGTTTTTTATAATAATCCATCCATCCTGTTATAGACGAAGAAATAAGTGACCATATTCATTTGAAAAAGAAAGAGATCTAATATATAAATAGATTGATTTCTTCCTTTTCTTTCTATGCCAATGTAGAAGAAACTCCATTTTCCACTTCAAAACAATTCTATTTCTTGAGTGTTTACTAGAAAATGATTGTGTATGTGTGAACAGCATTACATTTCCGACAAAAAACTATATAACTACCTGCTCATATACATTTATAGACAAATAGATTGCCGACATTGGATTAATATGATCAGCAAAAGAACTAGTTAATACAAAAAGAAAAAAAACAAGAATGGTAATAATAGCAAAAAAAAAAAAGAAAAAAAAAATGTGAATGAACTTGTTCCTTACGCACGAATGACATGGCATAATCGAGTTTTTGATTTGTTCAATTGGACAATTATATGAGACATGCAATATGAATAGAAGAATGAATGAATGAAAAAAAGTCACAAAATAAATATAATCGATTGATTTTATGAGAAAAACAATATAGATAAGTATTTATTCAATGTATTTATCGATTATTGAAATACTTATTTAAATTGACACTTTTTCTTTTCTTCCAAAAAAAAAAATGAAACAATAATCAATCGATCGTTTTATTTTTGTTTTTTTTTTTTGTCAACAATTAAATATTCAGATAAGAATTGTTTTCAAACAAGAAAACATTTGAATATTGAGTTTGTTTTTTAACTTTCATCATATTCAAGTAGTATTCTCACTTACTTAAATATGACAAGTGTTTTAACATGTTATCAATTAAATTTGAAAACAAATAAAAATTACAACCGGGAGTTAATAACGTCTGTGTTTACAATTGGTTATCCATCTCTTTTGTAGTTTTGTCGACAATATCTTCGAGTGGCTCTTCATTGGCATCATAATATGAATATATATATATTTATATTTATATACATATCGAGACATTGATAAGGTCACATTACCACCTCATCACTGGCATTCATTCAAGTAACAGCCTGAGGCTTCCTTAATACATGTACTCTTTTTTTTTCTTTTTCACTTCACTACAAGAAAATGTCTGTTGTCTTTCTTACTGTTCGATAGTAATGATGATGATTACACTCGAAAAAAAAAAAAAAGAAACAAGAAAGTAACGAAAAGATTTTTGTATGAATACTCAAAATATTTACTTAGCGTTTATTCGTCTACAATAAGAAAAAAAAAACGTAAGAATAACAAATTTTATTGCATACACACACACACATATAATCGGACTCATATTGATAAAATTTTTCCAGTCGTTGATTGGCTCTGTGTATGTTCACGAAAGAAAAAGAAAAAAAAAATAAAAACAAGAGAAATACTTTCATATAAGAGAGATGATGGGATTGGCCGTTACGATAATATTTTTTCTTTTCCCCTTCTTCTTTTTTTTGTATTGACGATAATAAATCGATCTCTTTTTCGCTCGTTTAACGGAAATGAGCAGCAAACAGTCAGTATCGGAAATAGTCAAGCGAATCATTCGTCTGTGAGAGAGGGTAAAGAAAAAAGATTAAACAAAAAGAAAAAGTAACATTTCCTTTTGTAAAAAATATATATATATATATATATAGAATAAAAGTTCATTCAGAACAATAGAAATTTTTAAATAAACGATTATTTTTTAGTTTTATCAATGACAAAATCACCATCAAATAATGATGATATTGAAAGTCTTAGTCCTAATCATCCTATTTATTCCTATTCATCATCATCATCATCTTCACCAAATCCTTCAATTGATTTAAATTTACATTCACCTATATCATCTTTATGTGGTGATATTGATGATCAACATAAAAATTCTCAAGAAAAATTATTATCAACAAAACAACATATTGTTAAACCACCTTATTCATATATTGCATTAATAACAATGGCTATATTACAATCACCATCACGTCGTTTAACATTAAGTGGTATATGTGAATTTATAATGAGTCGTTTTCCATATTATAAAGAACGTTTTCCAGCATGGCAAAATTCAATACGTCATAATTTAAGTTTAAATGATTGTTTTTTAAAAATTCCACGTTCACCAGGAAATCCAGGTAATCATAATCGTTTAACACACAGTGGCGAAGTTGAGTTTTCTCCTCGCCTACAATTCTGGTTTAATATATTTTGAATAAAAAGAATCTTTAATTTTTTTTTTTTTTTTAGGCAAAGGAAATTATTGGACATTAGATCCAGCAAGTGAAAATATGTTTGATAATGGTTCATTTTTACGTCGACGTAAACGTTTTAAACGTTTAAATCAACATCATTCAACTTATTTTCATCATGGACCACCATCGTTTCCTCTATTACCATTACCATTTGTTCCAATAAAACGATATGTACCATTAATATTACCATCTTCTTTACCAGTATCAATACCTCATATTCCAACAACACAACAAAGTTCATCAAAAACTTCATTTACAATAGATAATCTTATTGGAAATAATAAAACTAATATAAATTCTGTTTAAGAGAACTTAATCAGTATATGTCTATGCCTGTTGTTCCTTTTTTTTTTTTTTTTGACGTATATCATAATAATATGATGATAATCAAAATAAGAAAAAATTCTATCGGTCAGATGTATATTGATAAGAAATCTCAATTTTACAACACATTTTTTCTTTTTTCTTAGTGATTGTCATCATGAAAAGCAATAAATTTTATTCTCAAGTAAATCAAATAGTCGATATTTCATCTGTTTTTGATGATATGCATATATGATATCATTGTACTAACATAAGTCAAAATAAACAACAAAAAACAAAAAAAAAGATAAATATCAATTGTTGTTATTTTAATAAGATCGATGTACTTTCTTCCGCACAATTATCGACAATAAAGAGAAAACAACATGTCGTTCTTTCCAATATCTGTATGTTGTTGATGTAAGCTACATTATATGAAGGCTGTTTTTTAGCAGAGTAAGCAATAACAATTAGCTTCATCTCTTGATACAAATAGACAAAATAAGAATGAAGATAATATGAGAATGAACACAGCTGTATAAGCGTGTATGTATATCTCTATTCGTCGTGCATGAATTATATGAACATATAAATAGAAAGAGAGTGCCGAAGTGATTTCTTTATAGTGATGCAATATTTTCAATGAGAAAAAAAAATTTTTCATGTTTTCAAAAGATAAAAAAAAAAAATGACAATATAAATGTTTATTGTTATTTAAGTTTATGAGATGTATAGTGGCGGACATGAGTTTTGAGAAGTTGTATTTTTAAATTTTCTTTTCGGCTGTAATAGTTAATAAGAATCTAAGAAAAATATTTATGTAGCTAAAAGGATTATCTATCAGGATTGGTAGACCCGAAGATTTGAACAAAATTACTTGAATGAGGATCTTTGTAAAATCAAGACATCCAAAATTAGATTTCTGATATCTATTCGAAGCTTTTGGAAAAAGAATTTATTTGATAGAGCAAAATAATACGTCTTCAACCTCTCTATGACCTCCCTCTTCATCGAAGTGCATTCAATTTACAAAAGACACAAGAAATATTGTTCTCTTCTCTTTATTGCAGATTTTAATATGTTTGCCATGTCTGACACTTTGGGATTTTCTGTAAATTGCATACACCTCAATAAAGGAAGGTCATGGAGAGGTCAGAGACTTCTCATTTTGTTCTATCAAATAAAACCTTTCCATAAAAAGCTTCGAATGGGTACTAGAAATCCGGTTTTGTGAGCCTTGGTTTTTACAAAGACCCTCATCCCAATAGTTTTGTTCAAATCTTCGAGCGTATCAAGTCTGGTAGAAAATCCTCTCAGCTACACAAATATTTTTTTTTCAGATTCTTGCTAGGTATTACCATCGAAGAGAAAACTTAAAAATACAGCTGCTCTGAACTTTTATCTGCCACTATATGCATATAAAGATGATACAGGTTTGTAAGACAGAAAAATTTGCTTCATAGGATTCATTCTGTTTGTATGTAGTGAACTAGATCATTGTTTTATAAATAGAAATAAATATGGACTAAGTTTAAAAGTTTTTAAGAGATTCAATTTTTGATTTGTTTAGGACAATTGCTGAGTCTTGAGAAAAAACACAACAATTAGAAGAAATTTTCAAGACTATAGCATGTATTGATAGAATATATTTTATGGTAAAATTCTGAATCTGTTTTTTCGTTTTCCAAATGTCTTTTATCTAGATTGAGATTATATTCATTTAGAATTTCTTGGATCATATAAAGAACTATTATTAATGATAATGTTAATCGTTTCAGAGAATAGAGAATTAAAGAAAATGATCGAGTTATCAATAATTAATATTCATTGTTTCACAAGATAATTTTCTCATCAGATAACCGTTTGATTTTTTTGTTTTTGCAAAAGTTTGACTTCAAAGAATATCATTCCAGTTGATATGAATAATATGGCATATGGAAAAAAAAACAAGATTGTCATTAGAAAACAACAAAATGATTTTGTCAGAGATTCATCATTAATATATATTTAGTGCCTGTCAAAATTATTCAACTAGTAGATAATTTTATTTTTTTCTTTGCATATATTTCAACAAACACAATTGATTGATTTAGTTTTTGAGCCTTTTCTAAGTTGAAATTTTCCTTATAATACATTATGATTCAATAGGACAACTTGTGCTCTACATAAGACGTATTTCTTATTATAGCTTTCCTTTGAGCAAGGGTAAAAAACTAATATTTTTTTGACTTACACCGGAAATTGTCAACAAAAAAAGTGACAAAAGGCACTTTTTTTTTCATATGATGTTTAGCCAATTTGATTGTTAAATAGATTATTATCAAGAAAACTACAAACTACATAAAGTATTCTATTTGAGTAGATATTTCATATTGAAAAATTATGTTGGTCATCTCCAATATATACATCAATCATAGATAGATCCTTCGTGTATGGTCTTATTCACATATTGAGGAAGGTATAAAAAATTATTTTAACAAAGTGGATTTGCAAGAATATTTTCATACAAAACTCCTATGTTAAAAATCAAAGCCGATTATATCATTTAAATTGTATAATTATGTTACGTTATAAATAGTTTACCATAGTTCCAGCAACAGACTGAATATGAATCTCACAAAAAAAAAAAGATGTATCAAATGAAATTTAACGTAGCGTGTTGTTCTTAATTATATCCTACTCTATCTACATAGACATGACGCACAAAAAATTAGTTATGTATTTAATGAGATCTGCATTTAGGCTATTGCTGGGACTATGGTAAACTATTAATAACATCCATGAATCTACACTGTTAAAACAAGCTTTTATATCTCCATCAATCTGTGAATGAGACAACCGACATTATTTTTCAACATGAATTATCTATTAAAATAGAATAACTCATGCAATTTGTAGTTCTCTTGCTAATGATATATTTAACAATCAAATTGACTAAACATCATATGAAAAAAAAAGTGTCTTTTGTCACTTGTTTGTTGACAATTTCCGGTGTGGGCCGAAGAGACATTTTTTTTGTCCCCGTTACTAAAAGGAAAGCTACGATAAAAATTACTTTTTATGTAGAGTGATATTTATTATATTGAATTATGCATTATAAAGAAAATTTCAACTTAAAATAGGCTTGCAACAGTTTGAAAAACTAAATCAATTAGTTTTTGGGATATACACAAAAAATAAAATAATCTACTAATTGGATTATTTAGACGAGGATTGTATATATAGGGTGTGGATGAAGAGAACACCCACACTCATACCGAGACCTTCATTAATATTAATACCAATTCTTATATGACAGGCCTAATTCACAAAAAAATTAAATAAATAATGTAGTTTAATCTTGATTTTTATTGACATGACACTTGAATTTGATCGTTAGATAAGTTAAAAACTTAGGAAAAGATTGTTGATAAAATCTAAATGGTGATTAGAAGAGTATTGAAAAACTTTCATTTGTAACAAAAGTTCGATGTTGTCGGGATATAAATTCTAAGATTCCTTCCATGTTGCGTAATTTAAAAGGAAATGAGCATGAACTATAACTAATATCAAATTCTGTTATTCTTAGATTTAATTGATTGAGAATACTAGTTAACGAAAGAGCCTTTCTCAGATTTCAATGAATTTTTGTCTATAGATACTGCATATTTTCCAGAGATTCTTGTAATAGCGCAAGTTTTCGGAAAAATCGAATCTTCGAATTTTGACTTAAAACTTAATGCATTTATAGACTTAAACTATACTAGCTTTCATGAAAAATTTCAGAAGTTTTGAACAAAGTTTCTTCAAGATATATAGGTTTCAATAAATTCATGCTCTATACCTTGAAATTCTCATTTCTCAAAGAGACTTTATTTAAATCTTCTGAACTTTTTTTTTTATAGAAGTCGGTAGAGTTAAGGACTATAAATGCGCAAAATTTCAGATCAAAATTCGAAAGTACGAGTTTTTCGAAAATCTGAGGTCTCTAGAAAATAGACGTATTAAAAATTTAATAGCTTAGTTAAATCTCAATAGGAGCCCAAAGCTTTTTAAGATTTTAATTACAAAATCAATGTAGTATCTATAAGCAAAAAAATCAATTGGAAGGAGAAATCTAAGAAGATTTCCATAGTTTTTGTTTGATCAATAGAAATGAATGTATTTTTACTACATACAAAAACTATTTATATCAATTGTTTTAAAACTAATGTTCTTTCTAATGGTTTTTGTCTACTGTTCATCATCAATCTCATTGGACATATTTTTTGTTTTGATATTACAAGCTTAAGAATTTTAACATTGATTATTTATATACTATGTAGAAATAGCAGAGTACATTATTTTTTTTTGATTAAGAATAATCATCAAAAAAAGATTTGCATATTCTCATTTCTTGACAAGTTTGATTGAACAAACGTGTTGAAGAATCCTCAAGAGTCTATATATTTTAGAAAATTAATTAAATATTACTTTCTTTTAAAACCATAATACATCAATGTGTGAAGAAAAATAAAAATATGCCTTTTGTTTTCTTTCCTTTTTTTTTTTTGTCCTGAAAATTCAAACTATAAATCGAATTATTTAAATAATACTTTAAAAAATTCGATGACTGGTATGTGTGTGCAGAGAGCAATCATATAAACTTCAAGAATAGTCATACAAAATTAGATTGCAGAAGTTCTATTGCATATAAAATATTTTCAAGTTCTTTTTACACTAATTACAAAATTATCACAAGAATAAATTCAAATGACATGTCATAATATCTTGAGAAATTATCGAGAAAACTAATCAAAAAAAAAAAAAAAGCAACCAATAGTAATGAAAAATATTATTTATTAGTCTTTTTCCTTTTTTTATTCTTATATATATATAAGTAAGTAATATTTTCGAAAATATAAATGAACATTTATGTCATGCTAACAATCAATTGAATTCTTATTGTTTGATGATGAAATAGATAGGGTTTAGACAATTATTTAATACAACAACAAAACAAAAAAAAAAAGAAAACAATCAGA